GGCCGCTGGGTTCCGTCTTCGTCGCCGTCGATGTCCATACCAACTTCGTCACGCAAATTCTGTGCCGCCAGACCATTAGGCATGAGCATACAGGAGGACGACGGGACGGACAAACTCACCTCTTCCATGGGCACGTTCCTCAAGTTTCCTTGAAGCAGTGGAAGTTTAATCTCTTCCAGTCTGCACTTCCTATACGTCGCCGAACGTTCCATGGCTAGTTTTTCAATCTCGGCATTCTGTGGAGCATGTTGAGGAATGAGATCGAATTCAGCCAAGCCAAGGAAGGTTTCTTACATTGGCGCTGATTTCCTTGAGAGATTGATCCAAACCCCTCGAAGATCTCAAGGCGGTTTTCTTGGCCTGCTCGACGACCTTACTTTTCTCGTCTAACGCATCTTGGAGCTCAATCAGGTCTTCTTTGTAGGCGGAAATGCCTGCCTCCAAGTCAGCCAGTTCTTGTTCGACAGTAGCTTTACGTTCTTGCAGGTTGGCGAGTGTGACCTCTTCCGTCTTCACTAATGCTTCCAAGTGCGACATACGCTCCCGACTGCTTCGCAATGCTTCATTTTCATATTCGAACCTGTAGATTATAGCGTGAAATGAACGTCAGGAATCAAAACATTCACATATGGCCCGACGCACTGATGGGTTAAACGAGCGATCTGATTGTCGTATCTGAGTCGGGCCTCGCTTTCTTCTTGAGCCATTTTCAGCTGTCTTTCTTCGAACTCACGAATATTTTCGACGCGGATTTTCGTACAGAATTCAGCGAACACTTCATCTTCTGCATTATTGATTGCCTCAGAAAGGCTTGTCATCTGGTCCTTGAGTTTGTCATAGTCTTTCTCTGACTACATAGAATGATTCAACCCTGGCATAATTGAAAGGGGAGAAAGTTTTACCTTCTTCAGTTCAGGACTGTTCTTCTGGATTTCTCGGTCCAGGTGTCTTAATTCCTCTTTCAGACCGGACAGTCGCGTTTTGCAGGCATTCTAGAGAAACGGGGATCAATCAAGAAGGTACGAGCGTGAGTGAGAGATAACACGACGAACCAGTTCATCCTTAGCAATTGCGAGATTCGATTCTAGCTGAGATATTTCGGCAATAAGATTCTCATCCGTTTTGCCTCTCGGTTTCTGTTTGCTGAGATCTCTGAGTTTAGCTAAAAGTGAATCCCTTGACTTTTGCAGTCCCTGAACGTCCTTTTCGTCCCATTTCTTCTCGCTGCCGTGGGTACTGCGTCCACCAGTGATGAGACCACTTTTGTGAATGATAGTCCCTTCCAGTGTCACCGCTAGAGTAATATGCCACTAAATTGTTGTTATCTCTAATGCAGTCAATGCTTTCACAGACCTTTGACCTCCTGTCCTTTGTCATAACACACGTATTTCGCTACATCCATAGTATCACAAACGAGGGCATTCCCGCATGCGTGGTGCATAGCACGTTCGACAGCTGGCTCATATTGAATAACATCGACCGCAAGTCGTGCACCTTTTGCGAACGATCGAAACTTGTCGTTGACTGGCTTTACCTGGATGGTGTCTAGTGGGATGAATGTCGCTTGGCCAGCACGCTGATTCCGCATATACTACGCAAACAGAAATAGAAGTTAGAAGGTAGAATCAAGTTCTGGACATATTTTTGCACCTCAATACAATCTATAGCTGTCTTCTCTTCGTCTACAACCACAGCATCAATATTCCTTCCGAGCACAACCGAGACAGCCGTCTCATATTTCCGTTGAGAAGGCTTGCATAAGTCGATCACACGGCCACGAACACCTACATTATTGCGGAACAGGAAAGATTACCCAAATTGCACTCAAAACCGGAATTCTTACCTGGGAAGATTCTTTGGAGACTTGTCAGGGTCTCCTTGAGTTTTCGCTCTCGCTCTGACTCGTTCCTATCAACGCCCGCTTGCAAGAGTTGTTGATACACGCTTTGGAGTTTCTCGTTTGCTTGAGCTTCCAGTTGCCTGTTTTCCGCATGAGCTGACACTACCCGATGATTATGACCCGCAAACTTACGATATCTTCGTACGTTCGGAAACTTGGTTTTCCAATTCTTGCTTCTTGGTGTTACGCTCATTCTGAAGTCCAGCAATCTTCTCTTCGAGTTCGGCCTTCTTCTTCATCTGACTCGTCAGTTCTTCAGTGCGAGAGTCGCGCTTTTCTTCGAAATTCTGCTGTTTCTCTCGGAGCGTATTCAATCCCCGGACAGCAGCCTTTTCTTCTCGCGTTAGTTTTTCCAACTTCTGGCGTTCCTCGACAGCAAGAAGATTAGCTGCAGTTTTCCTGATAAGCTGTTAATGGTCTAATTTTCTCCAAGTGTTTATAAAAACGAACAGGCTCCGGTATTCTTCCAAAGTCTCCTCGCTTAGCGCAAGGTTGTTCTGGGACATTCTGCGTTGATCCTCTACAAGGAAAGCTGAGGGTCATGTATCATATCCTCGTCTAGAGTATTCCTGCGCACCTTGTGCTTTATCTGCGTCTCTTCTGACCTTTGCCAGTTCAGCGTCTAGATTCTGTACTCGAGTTTCCAAATCCTCTTGCGTTTTGACCACGTCTTGCTTCGTCTTTTGAGCATTGTTCGTCTTTCGAGTCGAATGGGTGATTTGTGCTTCAACAGCAACGAGGTCGGGTCGCTGGAATTGCAGTCGTTAATTAGCTATAGGTCGACGGAACTCTCCTGATGAAATGTAACAACCTTAGAATCCAGTGCTTTTTCAGCCTTTTTGATTTTCTTCTCCATCTGCATTACTCCAGTACGGGCCCTTGCCTGCTCTGCCCTTGCTGCTTCCAATGCTTCGTCGTTCACTCGTTGTTCTTCTCGCTGTCCTTCAAGATCCCTGTTCTTGGTTCTTATTTCGTGTGCGTTGCGTTCGATAGACTCCTCTATATGATACAACTTGAACAGGATCCTATGTAATATTAGGGCGTCCTGTGTGGCGTGAATAACCGAAGCCGAGACGTAGACAAGAAGTACACACTCGTTCTTGTTCCATAGCTTCAAATCGCTCGGCCTCTCCCTTTTGCTCCTTGTATTGTTTGATCTCTCCTGCAATTCCGCGTCGTTTAGAGAAATTGAATGTCGCGTTCTCCGTGGCTTTGTCTTGTTCTTCTTTCGCTTTCTCGTATTCCGCCGCCAATTCCAAGCTGCCACTGATTTGTTCGACTAGCTTGGACAATTCCCGAGGAGACTGGGAAGCTACTGCTTCTACGTCACCTTGGAAGACAAGGAAGTTCTTTGCTTTGACGAGAATGTTGTGAGTGACGAGAGCAGCATTATACGCGGAGTAGGTCACGACGCGATTGTTCAGCTTGTATTCCGACGCTCCAGTAGTGGAGACGCTATGAAATACATGTCAGAGTGATCTCAACCGACTAACGAAGCCACTCACGTTCTTTGAAACGTCCACTCCTTACCTTCAGCGTCTACATACACTGCTGAAACCCAGGCTTTCTTCGCTGTCCCATCACCCTCATCATCCTCCTGCTCCTCATCATCCACAGCCATAGAACCATCCGGATTCTCTCTCGCCAGCCGTCTTCCCCGATAAACAAGATCCTTCAGCTGTGAACTCCGAAGCTGGGCACTCTTTACTCCAAGAACGAACGAGATCGCATCCATAAGGTTGGACTTTCCAGCGCCATTGGGTCCGATCACAGACGTGAAGTCCTTGAAAGGACCGATTGTTTGGTGGCCTCTGAACGTTCGAAGGTGAATTTTGGAGAGAAAAGTGGCGTTGTTTGTAGCTCACCGATACGATTTAAAGTCGCAGACTTCTATGCGAACCAAAGGCATCTTGGAAAAGCACAAGATGTCAGAGAAAGTCGCGACGGTTTCGTCGCTAAATTCAAAGTTCGAACTCGAAGCAGGTGAGTCATCGTGTGCGCTAACATAATCCACGTGATACGTGTCGACAAATAACGCCAAAGCGCCTCCGAGCGCTTAAATATATTGATACAATGTTCAGTCCACTTGGTCCGCCGCTAGACGTCTTGACAAGAACCAAATCCCAACCCCGCCCGACTCATCGCTCGTCCAAGTCTACTCAGCTATCAGATGCTCCTACGACAGCAGCTCGTGCAGCCATTGCACTGGAGTATGCTTCTCTAAGGAATCGATCACATTGCCCGCTCGGGTTATATGTCGTTCCTACAACAGAGAGCATAACGATATGGGATGCAGTCCTATTCATCCATCAAGGTCAGTATATGTTTTAAGGAATCATTGAGCAGTCATATAACTCACAATCTCAAAGGATACTATGCCGACTCGATACTCAAATTCAAACTCACATTTCCCAACAATTACCCTGAACGCCCTCCGACCGTGCAATTCATCAACGACGTATTCCATCCACTCATTTCCGCCAATGGGACCTTTTCATTCGCACCTCAGATCAGAGCATGGCGGTGAAATCTACGCTTCCTCCTGCCACTGAGTCGGTCGCACTCACGATGTCTTCCGTAGACCGAATCAACATCATGTCTTCGACGTGTTACATTATATCAAAGCGTCCTTCAAACGTGATGTTTTGGATAAGATTGAGGAAGCTGATTGCTTGAACAAAGAGGCTTACAAGTAAGTTGTTCATTCGAAACTACTCAATCGGAATGTTCCTCATCCCCATCCCCTCTAGACTGTATGTTATATTTCTCAATCAGGTTTATGTTTCTAATGACAACTGTCAACAGGTATCATGAATCCACCACTTCATTTGCTGCACTTGCGACGCAAACTTCATCTTTATCCCAATCTGACACCGCTCTATATGACAAAGACCAGCTTCCTTCAAAGACCAAACCATCACATGCCATGCATTTCACCAAACTGAAGGGCAAGACGTTGAAGGAGGAACGAGAAAGGCTGCATCTCAAAGAGTGGGATTAGTCTTTGACCTTGTCTACTTATCTGTTATTGCGAGTTCACTAGATTCCTGCATGAGCGTCGATTGCGATATTAGGTTTCGCGTTGCCTCGATACGTCAGTGGGCGTATGGTCTAGAGGTATGATACCTGCTTTGGGCAAACATGACCGAATGCAGGGGGTCTTCGGTTCGAATCCGGATTCGCCCCATCTTTTTTTCGCTAAACTCTCATAACGATTGCCAACATACAGACTTAAACCTAGAGGAACACTGGTCTTACATTTTTACATTTGGTGCGCGTCCATTTTTCTCTTTGGTCATGGTCATAGAGTCGAGGCCTTCTCACAACTTGGCTGAGGATGATGTGGAGACACCACCAACGTAGGCAATGCCACCGCCGAGAGCATTCTGTGGTAAGTTCATGAACGGAGACTTCTTGTAACTAACGGTGTCAAATATGCTCACCTTTCCTGTCCTAAGATTCTTCGTCACAAAGGTGACTTCAATCGTGTTATTCGGACCAGACCCTACTTTCCAAATCTGGGTCTCGAGCGCGTCTCCAGGTTTCACTGGAGAAGTGAACCTGACACCGAAGAATTTGAGGGCATCTGGCTGGTTACCACCAACAGTCTTCAACAGGGCACGAGCGGCGAAACCAAAGGTCGAAAGACCGTGAAGGATAACACCTCCGAAACCGGCTGCTTTACCGATTGCTGGATCTGAAGACGCACGATGTTAATGATACTTTGCCAAAGAGACATGAAACGTTGCGTACCAATGTGCAGAGGATTGTAGTCCCCTGATAGACGAAATATAAGAGCCTGTTGAGGCGATGTCTCGTCTTTGTATACCCAGTCTGGCTTTCTGTCCGTGGGGATGGGTTTTGCCTGAGGTGGTCCTGCGATGACTTTCGTGAATTTGGTACCAGTGATTTTCATGCCAATATTGAATGACGAGCTCTGTTGGCTTGTTCTGAGTACAAAGTAGTAATGTGATTCTAGACCTGATCAATCTCACATAGAGTTTAGCATATGGCACGTTCTTTGGATCAACAAGAATGCTTTCTGAGGTCAGGATAACACCAGTTTCTACAAAATCATTGAGCAAGTGTGTCCCAAGAAGCCTATGTAGGATCGCTCACTGTTCTCGGTTATACCTGTATACCTTGCTTTCCATTTCCAACCTGGTCCACTGGTCAAAGGCAAAGGCTTCAGGACTTCGATAGATTGTGATCCGTGTACCTGTAGTCGAGCTCAGTAACGTCTCATAGGATGACCGAGAATCTATACAATTCGGTTGGGATCTACTCGAGGGAGTCCAGGAATGTCGTTGCCTTTCATCCTGTCCGCGAAGAGGTTGAGTTCTTGACTATCTCGCTTGAATGTCAAGACGACAGGATAAGTTGGTAAAGCGGCAAAATTGGGGTCTACGGCATACGATGAGTTGTTATGATGGCGAAACTATGGTAAGTACCGTTATACGCACCTAATTCTGGAGGACAATTGAATATGACAGTATAGCTATACACAGCGCTTCCTCAGAAGCTCACCGTAGACGAAGGGCATGTCATCTTCAGTACGCTTTGCACCAACTCCAAGGGCGTAAAGAATGAGGTCCCGTTTAAGCCAAGATACCTGGTAATGTCGGTACATCAAGCTGAAGAAGCATACAGCGTCTGTCATCGTAGCTCACTGGGGTGTCAGGTAGTTCAAAGCCTACCAATTTCGCGATGTCGGAAGCCATAACCATTGATGATTGAGTGGACTTGTTGGAAAGAAGAGGAGAACATAGACGCCCGGCAGCTATGTTTTTCCGAGCCGGTTCTGTAAACAGCTGTAAACTTCTAACCAACATCTAACTCAGCGTCACTGGCATTGGCAACTGTTCAGGTCACGGTGCACCGTCTAGCTAAGCTTGATCATTCAGCATTGACTATCTTGCGTGGTCTTGACTCTTGTAATACTAGTAAGGATCATCATTCCACGAATCTGATTCGGAAGACTAGTTCAAACAGCCTCATACTGCCTCATAGCCATCCATTGGGCTACCGAAAGGTTGAAACAGCCTCACCCACTGGGCCACCGAAAGGTCGAAAAAGCCTCACCCGCTAGGCTCCGCTAGGCCGCCGATAGTGCAGCTGCAGGATGGAGAATCGGAGAAATGGAGAATTAATGAGGTGTATAGGCTAGATTTGGTGTATGCATTGATCTGATCGATATGAAGTATTGATGGGAGGCATATTCATAATTTTCAGCATAAAAGACGAACTGGCAACCCTTCAAACTTCCCAGAGCTGGTCTCCGAATACTGCTATACTTCCCTGTCCCAATCTCCTTCGACCCCTCAACTGGGCCAAAAAACGTCTCGAACGACGAATTCTGCATTCAAGCGCCTCCATTCGACTTTCTAATCTTCGCCATTCACGAATCACAATGATCTTTTTACGTCCAACGAGTATGATGTCCTTCGCCGTTCTTGGGATCATCTCAACTCGTGCTCTCCCTGTCCCGGACGACACATCGCCATCAACTATCAGTCCTCAGACCCTGCCTGCTTCTCAAGGTATCGTGCTTAGTTCGTATTCTGCCTATGAATGATTCTCATCTCTTATGGAGCAGTCCAAGAAGAAGACTGTTTGATATGCAGGCGCACCGGACAGGATGACCTCGCCAGCTGGGGCTCGCCACCAAAGTGGACGACATACAACTCCGAGCTTGATGTCAACCGCCGGCCTGTCATCGATCCCAAGCCACCTGTTGTCAATTCCCCGCCTGTTGACAGTTCCGGGCCACCTGGAGTCGATACTGCGTCTCTTCTCGACACGACCCCACCGACTGTATGCTTCCCAATTCTTGGATTCCCACCCTCAGGTAGGCTTCATCTTCACGATTCTAGCTTCTATGATACCCACAAAACCCAATCATGCAGGTGGACCACAGTTCGAACGGAATCCAGACTACGAAGGTAGATATATCTTCTGTCGAGCTCGTCTAGCTTATGCATCCAATCACTACTATGCTTACCTATTACAATGTACTAGAACCGACAGTGGAGGCCAAAATTGCAAAGCTTAGGAATTCCCATCTCTTCAAAAGGGGCAGTGCATATGGCAACCTGTATCGCCTCTTTGGAGAATTCGATAAACGTCTCGACAAAAGTTCCCAAAGGTACAAAAATCTTCTGCGGCATCTCAATGCGTATATCATCTTGCTCGATTTCTATGGTACGTGAGATCCGACCTGTGTTATGATGCTATTGTGCCTATAATCTGTCCCTACCTTAGACAAAGTACAGGAACAAATTACGTGGATTCAAAAAACCCCAGCTTATGACCAGCACAAAAAAGAATATGACAAATTGATCGGTTACATTGAGGAAAAACACCCACGTTCAAACACTATGATTAGCCTCGGTATAGCTGATGGCCAAAATGATGGGTACGATAACTTGAACTCGTTTGACACTCAATTTCTGACCACCTTTTCTAGTGTTTGTTATTTATCTGGAGCGTACCGTAGAAAACCGTAACGCAGTAGGCTAGTAGCAACTAGTAGCAACATTGTACATACCACCAGCAGACATGTTTAAATACTTACAATGTTTATGTGATCCAGAGGTTAACGTGGCGAGTGTTCGGAGGAGGTAGTTTACCCTGCATTACTGGTACGACCTGGTACGACTCGTGAGTGTCAAAGGTATAAAGAGTCGGCCTTTGGGAGACAACATTACTGGTAGTCCCGCTCAGTGCACTGTTTCTTCAAATGTATGCCCATTTCACTCAACATACCTGCTGGGAGAGATTCCCCAGCTGTTACTAGTATATATCCCCATATACGTATACGCATCCATCTTAAACTTAATCTTCCACTCTACACCAATCCTTCTCAAATCTTGCCGCAATTCCATTACCTCCTTCACATCCGTGAAATCATCCACATACACACAAATCACTCTGTCGCTTTTCTGACTATCCGCGGCAACCTTTGCGAACCCTCTCTGACGATGAGTACACACCATCCGGACCACGTTTGCCCAGAGCGAATCGACAGTGTCCAAGTCTGCAAAGATCATCCATTTCCCGGATTTGACATTGAACTGACAAGCGAGCTGGTCGAGTGCAGACACTGTCAAGGTAATGTTACCGTTTGTGCGGTGAGATTGAGAAAGGGACATGAAAGCAGCTTCGAGTTCGGCGATGCGCGGTGGACCAGAGTTGGGAGTGTGACGGTTGCCTCGATTGATGGCAATCCATGGACAACCTTCAGGTACGAGGTTGTTGGGACCTATGAGACTGGGCCGCCAGTGAGAGATGAAGGATTCTATGTTCGATATCGTGGAGGTTTCGTCGTTGAGAACGCACGTTACCCAGCCATGATCATTGCGGATGAAAGGAATACAGGATGGTGGCTCGAGGCCATTGGGTAAAATCTGGGAACGTAACGGGGATTGTTTAAGTGAGGGCACTGAAAGAAACTAGTGCTCGAAACGCACTTGACCCCGGTGGTTGCGTTGGATTTGTAGATGACCTTTGTGCTGATTGCCAGAAGATTGACTGGAAGCGTGCTCCTGCATCGTACCAGCCCCTTCACACAAGCGCAGTTGATTCTAAAGTACGCTCAGTGTGATGGTTTCAACATGCACTTGCCTGTCATGCCTACCATTTGTTCGATAAGATTTGAAGCTATCGTATCCGAGTCGATTCTGGGCTCCATGTTCATCGTCTTGAACGTGATAAGGGCTTTCTGCGCGTTCAAAGCTCTATAGCGTGTTATTTGGAGGCAAAACTTGACTGAAAAATTCGAACAATCGAAGATCTTCAAATCAAGCAACTTTATAAGCTGTGAGAAAAGGTTGACTCACATCATCATTGATGAAGAACGCCACCTTCGTCTCCACCATCGATAATCGTAAAGGACTGATTGACCGCGGCCGGTGCCGCCAACCCCCTCGAGCCGCTCTTCTAGACATATATCTCTGCACCCTAATTGGACGACTCACTCAGAATGCGATAGCAAAGCAAGCTGTAGCTTGTTCCCCTGAGCAGTATAACGTCAGGCAGAGCCAGTGAGACGTAGTTCAAGTCCAAGGCTCTTCAAGCTCAAGGCTTCAAATTATTCAAATGCTTCTCTTCAGTCTTGAATTCACCCTTGAATTCCCCATCTGACTGACATAAAGCATCATGCATCTGCATCAACTCCCACTATCCGC